TTGTGCCACTGCTTGGGGTGTCACTTGGTGGCATCAGTGTCACAAGGATTTACACCTTGCATGCGTGCTTCTGCAGCCGAAACCTTCATGGTGGTGCCAGCGCTGGTCTGTCCTTGCCTGTCCTGGGGGGTGACCCGTGCCCTGGCTGCTGCTGGTGTCTCCAGCACAGGCTGGGCGGTCAGTGGCCGTCCGTGGGCAGAAGGTGGCCTTGGGGTGAACAACGAGGTGGGGTGAAGGTGGACAGGAGCAGAGGTTGGCTTGTACCCTTGCAGCAGCCCTGAGTCCCCACATGGGAACCTAAAGCCACTCCGAAAGCCCCGTGTGCCGCAGGCTCCGTCGCTGTGACGCATTCATGCTCCAAAGCTCCCAGCATCCTACGCTGGGATGGTTTGGCTTTTGGAAAGCGGGGCTGGGCTGGCTTTATCCTGCCGTGCCCTTCAGGTGGGCTCTCGAGGTGAGCAAGCAGCAGCCTGGGGTGTTGGGGCGCCTCGACCGGGAACTGCAGCGTGTCGCGAGTGGTGCCAGGGACAGCCGTAGTGCCACCGCGCGGGCAGAGCTCAGGGCAGCGTTAGCCTGGGTCTGTTTCCCAGTGTCTTCTCCAAACCCACCACTCTTGCTTCTTCCCCTGCACCTGTGACCTCACCTAGATGGGCTTGATGCGTGTCTGAGGTTCGTGGACAGTTTGTCACCTGGATCAGGCTAATTCTGCTTTGCTGAATGCCAGCTCAGCTCCTAAAGTGAGTGCCTGCTGCTTCCTGCCAGTGCCTCCAGGAAATGCCTCCTTTTTCCAGCCCCTGGGGTCAACGCCGCCCTGCCTCGGGTCTCCTTCCATGCCCCAAAAGCTGCTCCTGTTCCTGGGGGTGACTGTCCTCTCCTCTCCCTTCCCATCAGGGCTCCGGTGACGTGAAGTACCACCTGGGAATGTACCACCGTCGGATTAACCGCGTCACTGACAGGAACATCACCCTTTCCTTGGTGGCAAATCCTTCTCACTTGGAGGCAGCTGATCCCGTTGTGCAAGGCAAGACGAAAGCAGAGCAGTTTTACTGCGGAGACACGGAAGGGAAGAAGGTGAGCAGTGCTGAGACCGGGCTGGATGGGGTTTGGTGAGAAAGCGCAGAAAACCAGCTGGTTTTTTTTGTTGTGTCCCTTCGCCTGACTTTGCCCACCCATCCTTCCCCGCTGTCTTTGGGGATAACTTGGGTACAGGCTCGCCCACCCCAGGCTCCCGCTGCATCTTCCTGCATCTCTAAACGACCGGCTCAGCTGGGCTGTAGGGAGCAGCGGACGCCCGAACAAAGTTGGTTGGAAAGCAGGATAACGAGAGGAGCTTTGGAAAGCCAACTCCAGCATCACAGCTCGGAGGGCTCCACAGTAGGAGCCTCAAGCTGAAGGATCTCAAAGTGACCAGGGATAACCGTTCCTGGGACTGGGGCAGGCTGGAGCCGGCAGCAGGAGGCAGCTCTCCGCAGCCGGGTGGGAGAGCAGGGGGGGAAGGGGCTGAGGGGGGAGATGTTTGCAGTGCGATTCATCACAGACATGTCTCCAACACCAAGAAGTGGAGGGGTGAGATCAAAAGTGCTTCCCTTCCTCCTCCACCCCAAGGGCTGGCTATAAATAGACAAACTCTGTCCTCGTCTGACAGGCGGTGTCCTCAGCCACCCTGGGTGCCACGGCAAAACAATGTCGCCGCAGCCGGAGTGAGCTCCTGGCCCGGCTCCTGCCCAGAGGTCTCCTGGGGTGAAAGTGTGGGGGAAAGGGGCGTTTTTCCTCATCTTCCCCCAGTTAGAAAAAGGCCTTGCTTTGAGATGTGTGTGGTTTTGGGAACGGGACCCACCTCCCAGCCGCTGCGTGCCAG